AGCCAATGCTTCTAAAAAGAGACCTGAAGACTATGTATATGGTATTGCATTGGTAAAAGAAATGGCCCTGCAGCCCAATGGTATCAATGTGGATTTCACCAGCTTCAAAATCTCCCTTCCCCCTACCGCATCCCAAAACCAGCCCAGCTCGTCCCCGCCTCCCTAACCTGTTCTTCCTCCCACCTATCCCCTCCTCCCACCTCAAGCCGCATCCCCATCTCCTACCTACTAACCTCATCCCGCCCCCTTGACCTGTCTGTCCTCCCTGGACTGTCCTATCCTCTCCCTAACTCCTCACCTACACTCACCTTTACTGGCTCCATCCCTGCCTCTTCGACCTGTCTGTTTCCTCTCCATCTATCCTCTCCTCTATCCATCTTCTATCCGCCTCCCACTCTCTCCCTATTTATTTCAGAACCCCCTTCCCCTCCCCCTTTTCTGATGAAGGGTCTAGGCCCGAAACGTCAGCCTTTCTGCTCCTATGATGCTGCTTGGCCTGCTGTGTTCGTCCAGCTCTGCACCTTGTTGTCTCGGATTCTCCAGCATCTGCAGTTCCTACTATCGGTGAAAGTAGATTATTTTTATTGATATTGTTCGTACTGCTTACAAAACCATCTCCTTTCATAGCTGGGTAAGAGAAACCAGAGCTAATTTAATTGCTGACAATTATGCAAAGAGAAGTATTATAAAATTAAACTAAAGTGTAATTTTACAAGAACAGTGTCATGGACATTGTTGTACTTCATATCAGCAAGGCAAATTCATAAAATTGATACTTAACTACATGTTTTCTTTCACTTCAGATTTGAAATCCTGAGGCATTTTGTAGCAAAATTACATGCAATTGTCGATTAGGGTTCTTTGAATGAATGATGGGCAATTAATACTTTATTTACAACTAGAAAAAACTAGCTTTACATTTAACAAAGGGAAGGTCTAAAGCGAAGGAAAAATAATTATTTTATGCTTGCAGCTCTCATTTGGCGCTGTGTACAGTGAATTGTAAGACCTGCTGTTTTACAACAATAGGGTTACTATGAAAAAAATATAAAAGAAGCAATGCTACAGAAAATGCGACATTATCCTTTTACTCAGTGGTGGCTATCTATCAGAACATCATGGGGTATTTTTTATTCATTCGCGTGAAGAAGGGTCTAGGCCCGAAACGTCAGCCTTCCTGCTCCTCTGATGCCGCTTGGCCTGCTGTGTTCATCCAGCTCTACACCTTGTTATCTCAGCATTTATTACCCATCCCTATATGTGTCAACCACATTGCTGCGGGTCTGGGGTTACATGTAGGCCAGACTAGGTAAGGAAGCCAGATTCCTTCCCTAAAGGACATTAGTGAACAAGAAGGATTTTCTAACAGTTGGCAATGATTTCATGGACACCATTAGACTCCTAATTCCAGATGTCTTATTGAATTCAAATTCTACAAACTGCCATGGCAGGATTCAAACCCAGGTCCCCAAAACATTACTAGGGTCTGTGGATTTATAGGCTAGCAATAATACCGTTAGGCCATCACGTCCCCACAAGCCACATTCCAGAGACTTGAACACAGAAACTGAGCTTATACTTCAGTGATTAGGGAGTTCAGTACTTTAGACTTGCCCTCTTTTAACCAAAAGACTTCAAACCAAAACCCGGAGTGCACTCTTGGATGGATGTAAGCTTCAACAAAATTGAAGAAGCTTGACATGATCCAGGACAAAGCAAACCACTTGATTTGCACCACATCCAAAAACATCCATTCCCTCCAGTAGCAGCAATCTACCATCTACAAGATACATTGCAGAAATTCACTGAAGATCCTTAGACAGCACCTTCCAAACCGAACCACTTCCACCTAGAAGCACAAGGACAGCAGACACATGGGAACACTACCACCTGCAAGTTCTCCTCCAAGCCACTCACCATTCTGACTTGGAAATATATCGCTGTTCCTTCATTGTCACTGGGTCAAAATTCTGGAATTCCCTCCCTAAGTGCACAGTTGATCAACCTACAGCACATGGACTGCCCCTGTTCAAAAAGACAGTTCACCACCATCTTCTCCAGGGCAACAAGTTATAGGCAACAAATGCTGATCAGCCAGTGACTTACACATCCTACAAGTGAATTTTAAAAAGACATGATATGAACAACAAAGAACAAAACAGCACAGGAACAGACCCTTCAGCCCTCCAAGCCTTCTCTGCCACCGTTTGTCCTTCCATACTGAAACTGTCTTCATTCACAGGATCCATATCTGTCTATTCCCTTCCCGTCCAAGATTTTCTTGAATGTTGCTATTGTGTCTGCTTCCACCACCTCCTCTGGCAATGCGTTCCAGGCACTCACCACCCTTTGTGTGGAAAAACTTGCCTCAGACATCTCTTTTAAACTTGTCTCCTCACAGTTTGAACTTGCTTTCCCATAGTAATTGATCCCTCCACCCTGGGACAAAACCTCATACTTTCCACTATATCGATGCCATTCGCAATCTTAAATACTTCAATCAGGTCACCCCTCAGCCTCCAGTGTTCCAGTGAAAACAAACCTAGTCTAGCCAACCTGTCTTCATAGCTAAAATTCCCCATACCAGGAAACATCCTAGTAAACCTTTTCTGTACCCTCTCCAAAGCATCCACATCCTTCTGGTAGTGTGGTGACCAGAACTGTATGCAATATTCCACATGTGGTCTAACTAAAGTTCTATAAAGCTACTTATTATTTGATATTATTTGAAGAACAGATTACCTTTCTAATGAGTCCTGGACAACATTTATCCCATAATGAATCTCACTTAAACCGATAATCTAATCATTCAGCTTATTGATGCAAGTGGGCCTTTTTGGATGCAAAATGCTAGCAGTATTTCATACCTTATAACAGTGACTGCACTTCAAAAATACTTTGTTGGGTGTAAAACATTTTGGAGCATGCCATTGCCATGGAAACCACTATCTAAAGGGAAATTCTTTCTTTCTTTAACAAGCGATGGAAGAAAATTAGAAGTATTACTTCTCCTTCTTAGGCAATCCCTTCGATTTGAGGATGATGTTCTCCCACATCTATGTTGTGGATCCTAAGGTGACTAAATAGTCAAATACTGGATCTGCACACTCTGCCATAGGTAGGCAAGGTAGTATTCGGAGGTGAATGAGTGGGATGTTTACATTTCTGCACCCTCCTGTTTGTGCTTGACCTGTGTCTGAGCATGTCAGAGACACTGGAAATGCTGTGCACCTTCATGAATGTTTTTTCACCATTTTGTGGCTTTGGGCTAGAAATGCCCATACAAGGAAGTGGGGACATTGCATTTTTTTCAGGTAGGCTTTAAGGCCATCTTGAAGTGTATCTCAACCCTCCTGGTAACCAATTTCATGAAGCTCAGAGTACAGACCTTGTTCTAGAAGTCTTGTGTCAGGCATGCATACAACATAGCCCATCCAATGTAGCTCATTGACAGGAGATATAGTCCTGAGAGAAGACACTGATATTAGAGTGGCAGTGGATTTTGAGGAGGTATTGTTGGTGATACTTCACAAGGGAATTGAAGTTTATGGTCCCTGTCCCCAACATTCACAGGAGGTCTGGTAAAACTGCTGTTATCAAACACTCTGATCATCAAATGGCCAAAGATTATGCTGGCATACTGGAGATAATTTAGAGTTTCATTGTCAATGTCAGCCCTGGCTGAGAGGAGGACCCAAGGTCTAGGAAATTATCCACATTGTCCAGTGGCTGACCGTGAATCTTGATAGTTGGAGTGCAGTGTTGACTGGTGGGAGAAGGCTGATAGAGGACCTTTGTCTTTCAGCTATTTAACCTAAAGCCAATTCCCTTGCTTGCCACTGTGAATGCATCAACAATAGTTTGGACAAAAAAGAAAAAAGAACTGCAGATGCTGGAAATCAGAAACAAAAACAGAAATTGCTTGAAAAACTCAGCAGGTCTGGCAGCATTTGTGGGGAGAAAGCAGAGTTAACATTTTAGGCCCAGTGACCCTTCTTCAGATCAATAGTTTGGAGTTCAGTCTCTGAATGTGTGCACAAACAAGTGTCATCTGGACGCCACAGCTCAACAACAGAGGCTGGAGTTATAGAATCGAGAATAGAATCCCTACAGTGATGGACAATTTGTCCCATCGTGTCCACACCGACCCTCTGAAGATCATTCCATCTAGACTCACCCTTCAGCCTATCCCTGCATTCCCCCATGGTTTATCCACCTAACTTACACACCTCTGGACAATATTGGCAATTTAGCATAGCCTATCCACCTAACCTGTATGTTTTTGGACTATGTGAGGAAACTGGAGCACCTTGAGGAAACCCATGCTGACATGGGTAGAATGTGCAAATTCTATACAGACATTCGAGGGTGGAATCACATGTGGGTCCCTGGTACTGTGAGGCAGCAGTGCTAACTACTGAGCCACCATGCCACCCCTATTATTCTAGGATGTTCCTGTGATTTAGTACCATCCTCCTGGAGGTCCTTTAGGACTATCATTGTATTTCTGGAGAATGGCAGGAGAAGCTAAGTCAGACAGAACAATGAGGCTTGATTTGGAGTAGCCGTGCAATTAGTCGGCACATTATGGTGAGAAAAAGCTGGAGCAATCTTTGAAGGAGAATACCAAAGAGTGCCTGGAGAACAGATAAAGGAGCAGCCAGCCAACAGTCAAATGGCCTGCTTGATAGTCACTGCGGATGAGAAAGCACTGGCTTAACATTACTGTCCCTCTGTTGAAGGGTTTTACACTGATGTTAGCAGCCATCTCTTCAGGGGATATCTCGTGTCCCCTAACAGCCGTCCGACAGAATCTTGCTGCACGTTGTGTAGGTTAACTTATTGTTAAAGCCTGCCCAGGAGAAGGCATAAACAGTTACACCCGCCGCCACCTTCCAGCAAAAAGCTATGATCTGGAGCACTGCGCAGGCGTGAGTGTGCAGTCTCGGCTCCGGAGATCTCGTGATGGCTGCGAAAGGGGTGGGCGGAGGGACCCGGGAGATGATCGTAATCCTGATGGGGGTCAGCGGCAGCGGCAAGTGAGAGAACAGAGTAAGGGGGAGGGAGTAAATGGAATGGGTGGGGGGAGGTAGAGAGAGGAGGAATGTTGCAAAAGGTGATATGTATTGGGAAAACAGCCTTTCATTATGCTCATTCTCTCCTAGGACTGCTGTGGGCTCACGACTCGCAAATAAGGTACGACTGTGTCAATTATTTGTGAATTAAATGATGAAATTCTTCATTTTCTTTACAGTAAAGACTGTTGTCTTAATTTATCTTTTACTTTCTTCCGGAGGCAACTCTCTCTCGAAGCAACTGGTTGTAAAGCAATAAACATTGCTGCAGGGAGAAAAGAAAGTGATAAGTTTAGCCTGGATATTCCTTCGGCCAGATGGGAGTAGAGTAGAGCAAAACCGGAGTTAAACTCTGGGAATTGCCCAGTAAATAGGGGAGTCTGCAGGGCAATTCACATTCACCTTCACCTGAACTCTTCGAAAGAATCCATTAAAAGCAGATGAATTTAGAGTGTTCACTTCATTAAATTATCCAGGAAAAGTTAGAGGATTGAAAATCTAGTCTGCATCCTGGGTAACATTTTTAAGTTGTCTCTCCTTCCAAGAAACAACAAACCTCCTTAACCTCCCTGCACCCTTGCACATACCACGGATTTCTGACAATTACAGTTCCCTGACCACATCACCCCAGTCCGACGCGATTCTGGAACCCTGGCCCTTTTAACTGGCTGCCGCCCTATAACCCCACTCTTGCCATTCACAGCAGCTGTCAAGCTTTCTGACCGTGCATTAAAAACTCAGAACATGGCTGACTAACTGCTGCATAGGGAGTCATGGTTGAACTGTTGACTGTGGATGGGTGGTGATTGAACAGGGGCTTTGTGTGTGTGGGATGGGGGGTGGTTTGGGACGTGGGGCTGCTGAGTGATAAAGAAGGGCAATTGTGGAGGGGGTTTGCTGACTGAGTGATGGAGTGGTTGAAATCTACATATAATGTGTATATGAAATAATGTTGTCACAAAGTATATTAAAATCATTTCCATAAACTTCAATATACCAAATGTTAAATGTCCTTTCAGTGGTGTTTTTCATCTTGCTGGTGTTTGAAGTCATGTTAATTTCTGAGTTTTTGTTTTTATCCTTTAATGGAATTTGGGCATTGGTGGCAAGACCAGCCTTTGTCCATCCTTAATTCACGTCAAGAATGTGATGGTGAGTTAAGATGGCGTCATGGTGGAAAATAGTTTATGAAGTCCTACCTATCGTGCCGTTTTGCTTCACTTCACATAGGCAATCCAGCAAAATCGTATTAGGGTCATAGAGATCTACAGCACAAAAAAAGGCTTTTGGAGCGCATCATGTGCACCCTGGTCAAAATACCACCTGTTTTAATCCTATTTTTCCAGCACTTGGACCAGTGCCTTGTATGCCTTGGCATCACAAGCACATATCTAAATACTAGTTGCGTATTATGAGGACTTCTGCCTCTACCACCCTTGCAAGCAGTGAGTTCCAGATTTCCACTGCCCTGTGTGTGAAAGGTCTTATCTCTCATTTCTTCTAAACCTGTGCCCCTTACCTTAAATCTGTGCCCCTGGCCATTGATCCTCCATCTAAGGGGAAAAGTTTCTTCCTGTCTACCCCATCTATGCCCCTCAATTTTATGTATCTCAATCATGTCCTGTCTCCATTTCTTCTGCTCCAAGGAAAAAAGTCTCTGTCTGCCCAATCTTTCTTCATAACTGAACTCTCCAACCCAGGCAAAATCCTGGTGAATCTCCTTTTGCACCCTTTCCAGAGCTCTCACTTCCTTTCTGTCGTTTATATTCACTTCATCATCTGTTAAATGCACTAACTGCATTGGACACACATGCTGAGGTCACATTAGTGACTTAATACAAGCTAAGTGAATACCAAGCACAACATGGCTACCACCTGTGGGCAGAAGTAGCCAGCAACCTGACCCGGCCACAGGAAGCCTCCCATGGGCCGTGATGCCAACATCAGGCACTGTGTTGCTGACGAGGAGTCAGGAGGCAAGGTGGATTCTGGGGCCCCGTCTGGAGTGGGACACAGACCAGCACCAAGAGCAGGGAGCGGAGGAGCACCGGAGCTGAAGGCCCTATCTAGCCACTGTCTCTGCCCGCTGCAGGGTTTGGGTTGGCCTACTCGGAGCTAGGTAGGGCCCCGAACATGGTTAACACATCCAGAAATGCTATTTCCTTCTGTTGCTTCTGTGACACGTATCTTGATGGAGTGTGCCTTTGCTCCTTGCACCACCAGGTGGTGGCATTCACTTTAAATGTGGCCTAACACAAGTGCGTAATAAGAAAAAAGATTAACAAAAGTAAAACTAGTGTTTTCCATCCACTTGATGTCTGTTTGGTAGTCCTTAATGTGCTGCAAACATTGTAACAGCTCTTTATTGAACAGTGCAATCAAAGAGCTGATTGTGTGTCTTAGCCTAGTCTGACCGTCATTTCATGATTGTCAGTTAAATTCAGTGTTTATAGCTATAATCTTATTTCATAAAGTCCTCTTTGTCTTCCACTGCTGATAATTAATTCCCAGAATGTGCACCCAGTACCTAGAGAATTACAATACAAGAGGTTATTCAGCTCTTTGTATCTTTGCTAACTCTTTGCAAGAATTATCCAAAACTATTTCCATTTGCCCACTCTTTCCCTTGAAGTTGCAGCTGCTGTTGCTGTCTGTCTCAATCTTAAGTGCTGTAACCTTAAGGCTACTGACCTAGTGCTAGGATGTGAGATTAAAATGGGTGGAATAGGCATGATCATTAGTGCCTTCCTGTGCGGTAAATTTTCTTCGCTTTTTAAATAATCCTTAAACAAGTTAACCCCTAGTAGGGCACTGTAACATAAAAATAGAAATCAAATGATCAATGGCAAATGTAGAACTGTAATGGAGACGTAACTTCTCTATGGCTACAGTCCCATGATCCTGTCATGATGCCCTAGAAATCTAAAACATTCTCTTAAGTAGCATCTGTCAAGATATGTGTTGATAAGTCAAATCTGCTTCTCAATCAGCTAAAGTCCTTAAGCGTGCTGTTTGTACTATTCCTGTTAATTTGCCTTACTTTAACTAATAAAACCATTTACTCAGATTTAGTGTTAAATGAATGGAATTTTAATTGTTATATCCTTAAAGATTGATTTTTTCTCTAAATTGGATTGTACAATTTTCTATTAAATATGTAATATTTTAAAATATGCAGTACAATCAACTAATTCTTTTGTGTGAAGTTGTAACAAGTAGTCTGTAGATCAGATACAGTGAATCTCTTTAATCTAACTCTCTGGTTGTTTAAAATCATGGCTGCAATTTTTAAGCTGCATTGGGCAGTCCACCTAAAGGCTATGTTCAAATATGATAGACTGTATTTTATCCTTCCCCGGAGATGGTAAGAAGGACAAATAATTGGACAAGTTGGCTCAGGAGAGAAACTCGCCTACTTCCCAGTACCTGACCAAATTTTAGGTGAGATGATCCATGAGGAACCTTCTGGATCTACTGCCAATTAAGGCTCTTATATGGTCAATTGACAGCCAGCTAAGAGCCATAACACACCACCTTCCCGATCACTTTCCTCTGACAGGTAAGAAAGTTGGCTAGTTTTTTGACTGGAAGGCAGTGGTGACCTATCAGGCTCTCTTGTGGCATAGGGGTAGAGTCTTTGTGTACATTTAAAGCTGAGAGAGAGAGATTCTTGATCAGTAGGAGAGATCAAGGGTAATGGGAAAGTGGACGTGAGGAACGTCAGATCAGCCACAATCCTATTGATTGACGAAGCAGGCTCGAGGGGCCGAATGGCCTACTTCTGTTCTTATTTCTTACGGTCTCTGGCCTTATTTCCAAAATGACATTGGTACTGAAAGACAATGGCAAAAACTAGAGACTGACAAAGTAAATGTAAATTCTCTGATTTCGCCTTTACACTCTATTACATTTTATAACTTGGACTGCTGATGATGATCTTTGTTGATTCAGAGCACCTTTGGTATTCAGTTTGGTCAGAGATTAAGTTGAGGACAGTGTAGCAATGCAGGTTGTGCATGATGGCTATATTCTGTGTGCTCAATAATTCTGTCTTCCTGCCTACTCAAATGAGCAGGGATAATTTTGGGATGGTGAACAGAAGTAGAAAGCTTAGTGATTTGCTAGAAAAAATCTGTTTCATTGTAATTGCACATTGTAAGGTTCGTGTGGCATAATGGAATTAGAATTCTACAAAAACTTTGATACTGACACAACACATTTTGATGTTGATTTTGAAGTATTTGACAAAAAATGGAATGAACACTATGCTAGGAAACTAAAGCAATGGAATTCAAAGGGTACTCTTTGAAGAAGCTGTTAAAAGTGGGGTTCAATGTAGTAAGATAGATGTTTCCAGAATAAAGCGTAGTTCATAACAGCTAAGGAGTAGCAAAAGGGATGGTGACGGGATGATGTTGAGAGTTGTACGTTGACCAAAGTTGGAAGAATGAAAGGTGCAAGCTTGGATGTTGGGCAGGAGGAAGTTGTAAAGATAAGAGTGAGAACATACCAAACAAGAAAATGTTCAAAACCGTGCATTCTGTGTAGGGAATATTGCTGGGTTTAGTGAATGCAGAGGTGATGGATATACGGGACTGGGAATATCGACTGGAGAAATTGGTAGAGATTTTAAGTGTACAGAAGTTGAACTTCTAAAGTATTGAAAAGAATGCATTGAGGGAAAGGCTGTAGGTAACAATTGCATCAGAGATGGTAGGAACTGCAGATGCTGGAGAATCCGAGACAACAAGGTGCAGGGCTGGATGAACACAGCAGGCCAAGCAGCATCATAGGAGCAGAGAGGCTGACGTTTCGGGCCTAGACCCTTCTTCAGAAAAGGGGGAGGGGAAGGGGGTTTTGAAATAAATAGGGAGAGAGTGGGAGGCGGATAGAAGAGGGGATAGGTGGAGAGGAAGCAGGCAGGTTACAGTGGTTATGGGTGAAGTCAAGTCAGAAGTGGATGATGGCACTGTAATGAAAGTAGTTTTTTCTTTTATTCATTCACTGAATGAGGGTGTCGCTGGCTGGGTAGTATTTATTGCCCATCCTGATTGCCCAGAGGGTAGTTAAGAGTCAACCACATTACTGTGGGTCCAGAGTCACATGTAGGTCAGACCAGGTAAGAATGGCAGTTTCCTTCCCTAAGGGACATTAGTGAACCAGATGGATTTTTCCGAAAATCGACGATGGATTCACAGTCATCATTAGACTCTTAATTCCACATACTTATTGAATGCAAATTGCACCATCTGCTGTAGCAGGATTCGAACTTGGGTCCCCAGAACATTATCTGGGTCTGTGGATTAACAGTCCAGCGATAATATGAGTAGGCTATCAACCCCCTCACCCCGCCATTGATCATTGTGATATTTAGAAGGTTTGAATGCCAAAGTGAATATGCTAAGGCTGCACACCATCATGTTAAGTTGAAAAAGATCAGGCAAACATCCATGACAGTATCTGGCTCACAGTACAATAGCAGTTGTGTAATTCAAAATGCTGGTATAGTAAGAGCTGGAGCTGTTATGGTAGCTGATCTCTCTGCTTTTAGAGAATCCCCAAACACAGGTATGAGCAGAATTCATTTGGACACCGTATTAATTCTGAATGATTTTGACCCCTTACCCATTGCATTGGTCAATTTTGAGCACATATGTTACCAGTTGCCACACTTCTGCCAGTTCTGTACTGAAAAGAGACATCTTCCTTCAGTCTCCTCCCCTTCCCCTGCCACCCCTGTGGAACAGCATCTTGTATTCAATTTGCATACTTGCACAGGGAGACAAGCTATCCTTTTCCAAATCCAGAATTTTTTGCTTTTATAAGTTGATGTCTTTTCTCCTCTTCAGTGTTTTATAGCACTTTTTTCTACTACTTCTCCAACGAGCAGATCATCTATTGAGTTGTTTCATAACATTGCCCTTTTTTACTTTTTTAACCAGATGTATACTCAAAGCATATTCATCAACCTCCACAGCCTCCTGAAAATGAATATGCACATAGCAGTTCCTCTTCAATTTGCATATTAGCAAAACATTTACCAACAAGCCAACAGATAACTTCGCAGCTCTAATTTAGTGTTCCACCAATTTCTATTTAATATAAAAATTGAGAATCCATTCAGATTTCTACAATCATTTGTTTTGAAATTTGAAATATACTATTTACCATAATGCAAATGAAGTGGGCTCTTTGGCAATTTCCGAGTTCAGACTTTCGAGATCAGAATTCTTATTTTTTCCCTAGTATTTTACTGATCTCTGCAAGTTATATCTGTCATCCCGAAGAGTTAGGCCTTGAAGTTCCATTGGATATGTCGGTGCTTGTGGACAAAGTAGTGCAGTGGCTCGCTTTTGCCTTTTACACAATGGCTGACCAGGAAATTCTGCTCTTAACATTTGCCATCAGGCATATTGGAAGAATTTCAGGCTGTTAACCAATCTTTTTGGCTATGTTGGAAGCACACCTTTCATGACCAACAAGTCCTCTTGTGGGATTGAAACTTGGAGCTTCTGGCCCAGAGGTAGGGATATTACCCCTGCACCACAAGTCTTCAAGTTATGTAGAGAAGATAAACAAGACCAGATGACCAGATGCTTAAGCTTCTGCTGTTAGGTGAAGTAGAATAACAGCATTGTTTGTGGATGCATCTGTAGCTATCTTCCAAGATTTGAAGTAAAATTAGTAAGTGTTCTGAGGTGTTTTTCATTTCAACAGTTAGGATGGAAATTTTGTGATGCCGATGACTACCATCCTAAAGAAAACAAAGAAAAAATGATGAATGGAATTCCACTGGATGATGAGGTATATTTAACTACCTTTATCCAATCACTCTTTGCATATTGGTGAAAGTACTGCAGTTGCCTATATCTTTACAAAAAGGTATTTGTATATAATATAGATGCAGTTACTGCCTATTTCTTGTCAAAGGATTTCCCAAGAAGCTGCACTAATGAGGGTTACTGCCCTTTTTTTTGTTTGGTGGGATTTTAATTTTGCTACAGTTTCTTCCTCTTAACTGAATTTTTATGAACTTTAAGGTCTAACTTTTGAAAGTAAAAGCACAAACTCGCCGTACAAATCTGTTCACTATTTTCTTCCACTTATTTACAGGATGTGGTCATGGCTCTAATACATTTTGATTCCACATGTTTTTCACATGGATGAGTTTGTACTAGTGTGATTTTTAAATGCATTTAAACATTTTAAAAATGTTGTTACACACGAAACAGTCTCCATCTTGACTGTAGTAGGTTTTGCAAATAGCTTTTAAAACCAGTTGATAGGTTTGCCTTATCAACTGGCTCTAAAAGCCATTTGCAGAATCTACCACAGTCAAGATCTAGAACAATGTGACAGGCCAACTATAGTTGAAAACGTCAATTTGGATTAGTAATCGGGTGAGGATTGTGATGATTTCTGATTCCAGGCCTGGGCACAAATTCCAAGAGTAGAAGATTTTTCTGACAGGCCACATTTGGAGTATTGTGCACAGTTTTGGGCCCCATATTTTAGGAAAGATGTATTGGCCCTGGAGCGGGTTCAAAGGAGGTTCACGAGAATGGTCCGAGGAATGAAAAGCTTAATATATGAGGAACGTTTGAGGACTCGGTCTATACTCGATGGAGTTTAGAAAGATGAGGGGGGATCTAATTGAAACTTAGAATACTGAATGGCCTGGACAGAGGGGATGTTGGGAAGATGTTTCCATTAGCAGGAGAGACCGGAATCCGAGGGCACAGCCTTAGAGTAAAGGGACAACCCTTTAGAATGGAGACAAGGAGAAATGTCTTCCATAGATTCACCACTCTCTGGCTGAATTCACTGCCACAGATGGCTGTGGAGACCAGGTCGCTGAGCATATTTAAGACAGATAGGTTCTTGATTGTCAATGGAGTAAAGGGTTACAGGCAGAAAGTGGGAGAATGGGGTTGAGAAACTTGTCTGCCATTCAATCATGGCTGATCAGACTCGATGGGTTGATGGCCTAACTTCTGCTCCTATGTCTTATGGTCTTACGGTTAGGGAAGCAGGCGGACCAAGTAGGTTGGGAGAAGGAATCACTCTTGATCTGCTTGAAATACAAGCATCCCTTACTTCCTTTTTATTTCTTCCTCTTAGTTTCTCCTGATCTACTCTAATCAGACTTCATGATCTTGAAAACTTCTTTGATTGCATTAGTCTTCTTTCCCCTAACCTCTCCATACTATTCTCATAACTAAAGTTTGTTGTCCTTAAAACCATTTTTTTTATAAGTCTCCAACATCTTCACACCTCTCCTATATGTGGCACCCAGAACTATAAAAAATAATGTAGCTGGGGACTAATCAGTGTCTTGTACAAATTCAGTATCGCCTCTTTGCTCTTGTACTACAGCTTCTATTGATAAAGTCCAGGATACTGAATATTTTATTAACTGATGTCACCACCTATCTTGGCATCTTCAGTAATTCATCCAAATCCCTGTGCTCCTGCACCCCATTAAGTTCATCAGGAAAAGCAAGGTTCCCAATACCAACCCCTGGAGAACTCCACTACAAACCTTTCTCCAGCCTCAAAAATATCTATTGACCCTTTCTATTTCCTATCCCTTGGGCAATTTGTATCCAAGTTGGTATTGCCCCTTCTATCACTTGAGATGTAACTTTGTCAATTATGTGGCATAATTTCAAATATTTTTTGAAAGCCCATGTGTACCATATCAACATAATTACCATCAACAATCCTTTCAGTTACCTCTTCAAAAGATCACTTCCCCTTTTGGATATCCATACTGAGTCTCCATAAATTAGCAAGCTTTTTCCCCAAGTGGCTACTAATTCTAAAATTAAACTGACTGGCCTGTAACAACTGGACTTATGCTTACAATCTCTTGTTGAAATAAATTTCCTTTATAAAACAACATGTTTAAGACTGTGTAATATGCCAGATATAACAGCCTCATTGCAGTGAAGAATTAGATTGTGCACTTGGTGCGAAATTAATGTAAATACCTGGAACTGATGAGCAAATGGTACTGATGAAATTGTAATGAAGGTTCTTTTATTCATAAACTTTTTCGTAAATGGTGTCATATTGTGGCACAGTGCTGAGGCACCCCTGGTTTTCAAAATCTCAGCTGGCAGTCAGAAGACAACTTGCTGGAATATGCAAAAATTGCAAGAATGAATTGACCTGAAAGCTGATGTGTACCTTCTGGGAGCCAATTGCAGTGATAGAGGAGAGCCATTTTACTTGATTATTACATTTTGTACTCAAACACTGCATGAGAACTTGAGAGAAAATAACATTTTCCGAATTTCTCCTTTTATTGTTAAAGAAAATTGTATAAGTAAAAGTCATACCCTCCCAATTTTTAAGATTTTGTTTTTTCTGTTGGTCATAGGATAGAATCCCTTGGTTGTGCACTTTGCGTGAAATATTAATGAGGTAAACTGAAACTTTTAACCTTTTTGTCAAATAAGGTAATAGACTTAAGTAATGGAGCCAAAGTAGTCATTAACAATACATTTCAATGTATCTATTACTGATCAGATGAGTATTATGTAAATATTGGCTTTTATATGATAGGCTATTCATGCTTGAGCTTCAATCACAAAAGACTTAGTTTGGTACTGATGAAATTCTGTAATATATGGTGAAGCCTGATTGTAGATCTTACATTTATTTGTAGATTTGAATTTTTAATTTGTGATGAATAACAGTTATATTTAACAATAGGGAAAAATCATTTGGAGAAAATATGATCCTTGCTTGCTCTTCTCTGAAAAGAATGTATCGAAGAATTCTGACTGGTGAGCAGAGTGCTGTCAACACAACTGTAAAACAGGACCAGGAACAATCTCAACTTGGCTACAGCAAGAACATCTTGTTTGTGTATCTTCATGGCCCTATAGAATTGATTACTAAGAGGTTAGACAGTAGAAAAGGACATTTCATGTCACCTTCTTTGTTACAATCTCAGTTTGACACACTAGAACCACCAGAGGGGACTGAGAATTTCATTAACATTAGTATTGAGAACAGCATTTCAGATATAGTGACTGAGATTGAAAGACATTTAGGTTAGAATTTTTGTTGGAGGTCAGCAGAAAGAAATGACTGCACTGTACTGTAGGAATAAATGTTCCTCATCAGTAATTGCCAGTTACATTGTGACATGCATTCCTGGAGAACAAAGTTGCGTTTTTAAAAAAAAATTC